GTGCGAGTCGTTCTGAACATCACCTCTTGAGTTTTGATCACTCCCCACCCCACCTGTCCGGATGTAGGGCAAGAGCTGCAAGGCCACCAGGAGGAGCAACAGAAGCGTGGAAAAGAAAGCCCAGGGTGGGCTGGGTGGGGGATTCCCCCGGAACTGTGCTGGCAGCGGCGACGGGTTCATAGAGATGGGCAGCTGGGAGGATGTAGAGTCCATCAACAAGCCTTCCAACTGGTCAAGGAGCATCTGTTCAATGGAGGTTGAAGCCAAGGAGATCTGCTGCACGCCTACTTTGAACTCATTCCACACTTCTTGGATCACTCGGAACACCACGGCAGCACAGGCACGGATAACCATCCGGATCAGTGCTGCCACCAAGAGCGCTACCAGGCGCGGGAAGGCCAAGCAGAGCAATGCCACCATCAAAGTCCTCCAATGAGCCATGCACCATCCAGCGCATAGCTCAGCTCCCTTCATAAACCATGACAGATTCCAAGCTGCAGACCCCGCTGAGGCTTGTGTGGTTCTGTCACTATTCATAGGTATGGCATCTGTGACTGGGGGCTCATCCGGAGCCCGCACAGGTGCTGGTTTCAACCAACCAGGGCGGATCATATGCAAGCTATTGATCAACCGAGCAAAGGCAGCTGAGATTCGGCGACTTTCCGAGCCGCTACGCCACCGAGCTGCCTGATCCCTGAAACGAGGATCACTCAAAGCACTCACCTCCTCTGTTCCAAGCTGCCCGGCAGCCTGAGTCACAACAGCTAGCATTGAATCTGCTTCCGGCTGGCTAGCCGGCACCATCTGCGCTGCACTCACTGCAGGAGCTCTGGAAGGGGCAACCCTGGGAAGTGCTCTTCCCACATCAGCTGAGCTTGCTCTCGGTTGGCGACTCTGCGCAAGCGGGCCCCGCTGCCTGCTAGGCGCCCGCCGGGGAGCACTCGTTCCACGGCTGCCCATGTCTCAGGTGAAAGGCCTGAGGCGTAACCCACAGGTCCACCACCCGGGTTTGACAGCACCAAGTAGTGACGGATCTCTGGAGTAGCCGGGGTGTAGGTGATGCTCACTGGAGTAGCAGCACTCTTGGCCTTTGGCTTGGCCTGGGCTTTTGGCACCGGTAGTGGCGCCTGGGCAGCCGAAGTCACAACCAAAAGCTCACCTGTTGCAGCGTCCAGCTGCTCGGCCAACTCACCCGCAACAAACTCCCACTCTGGAGTCTCACGGAACTCTCGGAGAGCAAAGGTCAAGCCCTCAAGAGCTTCAGCCAAACGTTGCACCATCCTAACGCTGGGCCAGAAGAGAGCTAAGGCTTGAGCAAGGTGGTTGCCGTAAGAGCTCGCTTCGCAACAGCACTTCATCCAGCTTCTGCTTGGCAGCTGCTTCCAAATTTCCCATGACATGTGCTGAAAAAGCTGTGTGCAAATAATGTTGGAGGGTGGTGGCTGATTTCCACCGGCCAGCAAACTGCAAAGCACCTAGATTCTGATCTCGTCTGAAAAGGTATGTAGCTCCCCCAGTGCGAAAAGATCCCAAAGTGAAGTGACACGACGAAAGATCTAGCCGATGACATACATGTCGAAAACGTGTATCCCAAAGATAGCGAGATAGCTTAAATAGTGGTGCACCACGTCTTTGATTCATAGTCCACCAACGTAACCATGCAACCAGAGCTTGATCATGGGAGAGCACAAATTGATTCTTCCATACCCGCTTGGTCTTCGGCTCACGAACCACAACCACTAAACCTTGATCAGCCACTCCTACTTCTTCACGTTCCGGAAAACATAGATCACAAACCCTCAGTCGTAGTAGCTCTGAAGGTCTCAGCATGCAAGCAAAAGCCAGCCACGAACCCAGTGCTGACGCCCACCACACATAGCGCTCCCGGCCCACCACCTGTTTCCCTTCAGCTAATAGTACAAGCAATACTGCATCCAGACAATACCTGGTAATAGGCACCCTTGAGCTTGAAGGCACCAACTGTCTCCAGCCACGCACAGCTGCCCATGCACCACGTAGTAATGGACCAGAAAGTTTCAAACCTTTTTGAATACCCAGCACCCCAAGTGTCACCCAATGCAGCCTCTCACCAGTACGGTAGCATTCTTCCACTGCCTTCTCCAGCCACCTGTCCACCACGTGAGGAGGGGAACCTTGATGAAGCCGACCACCCAAACCTTCAACCACACCCACCATCCATGCTCCTGCATCCCGTAGACTACGCCGGTAGCTGCGGCTGAGGCCTGCCGTCCCCAACCGCACCATCTCTCCAAACCACGTACGCTTCAGCCAGTTCAGCACAGAAACCCAGAGGATAAGCACCCGCTCGCTTCGCACGAGGCCCACGCAAAGGAGGTCCATGCACCATACATCCCGGACATTGACGCACCACTGGAGCCAACCAGCCATAGGAAGATAATAACCGAGTAGGCTTCTTAGTAGGTAAACCAGTACGGTCATCATCATACGCACACCAATGTACGGTAAAGCACTTCATCAGGGGATGGGAAAGTAGAGGTTGGTTTTCATCCAAAAGCCAAGCCTTACTCCCTAAAGGATGCTCCAAACAGACTGGAATCCCACGCTCCAACGCCATCCATGCCAGTTGAAGTGCCCGCATCCACAAAGCATTCCCCAACCTGATCTCTGGATTTGTAGGATCACCTTCAGGGCAACCTTTGGGACGAAGAGGGCCACCATAATCCAAATTCCGCAGAGGACTCAATGATCCACAAGGAGGAGAAAGCCAAACAAAGGCAACCAAACCTGCCAGCAGCAAAGCATCAATAGAGCTATCAAAGGCATCCCTTCCCATGTCGATTTCCACCGGTTCATGCATCTCCACCCCAACCCTCCGGAAAGCCGCAGTTAACCTCGCTGTACCTGCGAAGATTTCAATCCCAGCCCGCGGAGCCGCAGCCACTCCCAAGAGTTCCAACCACCGAGGTACTGGAGCAGGAGGAGGTAGAACCACAAAACGAGAGGGGTAGTCTGCGATGTTGCTTGCTGTCTCCACCCATAGTAATCCCAGAGTAACCCCTGAAAAGATCAAGAAAGGTAACATAGATCGTAGAATACCGTTCAGCTTGAAGGAACTGGACCGACCCTTGGCAAAAGCCCCCACACATACTCGACTATCGTTGAGACAGAGCTGTATGGTGTTGATGTTCGAAGGACTGGATGCCAACTTAACTACTTCCCGCTTCAAAGCCCTAGCTTCCTGTAAGTTGATATGTGAAGTCTGCCGAAAACTGTAGCTAGCTGTGACTCTCCATGGCAAGCATTCTGAAACTGCACTGGCAAAAACCGAAGGCTCCTTAGGAGCTTTTTCACTCACCAGCATTTCGTCCATGGCAGTGCGGTCCAAACGCACACACTCGCCACGTGTCTCAGCTTGTCGCCACAGGGCTCGCAACAAGGCTTCTGGAGCCGGTGCCATCACCGCACCACCCGATATGGGTGTCGCATCTGTAGCCAGAATTTCTTGGCTAAACTTCTTCCGCATGTTCCACTTACAAAAAGGCAAATGGATGGCCATACTCATCAACTCATCACGAATGAAGTGGGGTAACCAGCAAGGTTTAGTAGCATGCATACTGTCCATATACTTGTAGATGTGGTGCTGCAATGAAAAACACTCACGTCTGTATTGGAATATAAAACATGCAAAACCCATCAGCTTCTGTAAGGTAAGTAGAGTACAAAAACCTCCATGTGCCACTCGTCGCAAAAGCTGCCAGAGCTGTTGTCTGACTTGAAGTGGGGCACCAACGGTGCCGATAACGCCTCTCACCTCCGCACCCCAGGCCTTGAAGTCAGCTTCCGCTCGAAAGGACTTGTGCTCAGCCCTCGGAAGCCCGACATCACGGTAGGCTTTCTCAGCAGCGGCAACTCGCAGCATGTCAGGGTCTTTGTCCTGTGCCGGCGGTGGCCGAAAACTGCCGTCCAAAGGGATAGGGTGAGGAGCACTCATCTTGTAAGTAACCAGCAAGTCATCTAAATAGATACCTTCCCACAATGGACCATCTGGAACGGGGTGACCATAAACCAGTGTAGTATCGGGAACCAGCAACCCTTCTCGTCGGAGCACAGCTTCATGCACTGCCTGAGCTATATCACAGGCATTCACATCGCCCATGCCCAATACCCGGAAACAAGCTCTGTAAGGTTTGTTGATATCCCCTCCAAACTGTTTCACCAGCTCAGGTGCAACCCGTCTCCCAACCGCATTGTGTCGTACCCAATTCTCTGGCAGTCGAAGAGCATAGTAGTAGTTACGCAAGTCATCTCCAGAGCCACGGACATACTCGTTGTCCCCAAGCAACATACGGCTGAAGCAAGCACCAGCCGGCAAATGAGCCCAGGTTAACTTCTGCATTGTGGCGTTTTGGAGACGCCGATCAAAAATGAGCCTATCTTCATTTTCATTCTTTCCTACTGCAAACAACCCTCCTATGAGCAGTCTACCATGGTTATCACGAGGTATATCCTCTTCAGGAACCAGGCTAACCATGTTGGTTTCCAACAGTCTCTTCATAAGCCCGGCCTCCTCCAGAGGAGCAACTTTGTGACAAGCTTTCACCACCTCCCGCCACAAAGTCTCGGGCAACTTCAACTGCTCGAGGTTGTCAACCACTGCCGCCTGTTCAGGAGGCAGAAGACTCGAAGGGTCCACGCTGCCAGCCTGAGCGGGTATACCAATCCTGTCCGCCACGACTGGTAAGGCAACAGTCGCTGCACTTTTCAACTGAGAAGCCCTAAGGCCCCCATATGCACCTGTACATGCCAAGTGCGCCACCTCAGCTTCCAGGGCCTGACGCTTGCCAGTACATGTCAGCTTATGACAGCGCAACTCGTCTGTCGCAAATTCCGCCACCTCGCCAAGCAAACCATCAGCATAGGCCCGAGCTTCGCTCATGCACCGATAGCCCACCCGCGGCTCAAATGCAGACTCCCCAGAGTCAGGACTGCCCAAGCAAAGAAAATTGGACCACGCAACCAGCTCATTGAGATAGGCTTTGCTCCAAAGTTCCCGACTTAGGTTCGCACTGACTCCTCCCCACTCTGCTTCGAAGACCTCAGGGTAGGGGAGTGCACTCGGAAAGAGTGGCACCTGATCACCGGAAAGCTCCAGCAAGGTACCTTGGGCGCTTTTAAACCATGAATAGTACTTCGCAAAAGATGAATTCTCATGCCATAGCAAAGGCCTGTCCAGCCCTTCAAAGGAGTTGCAGCGGGAAGGAACCGATCCGGAGTAACAGCGGTCAAACTGACATGTCCCCTTCACGGATCCCGCCCCCTGCGACTCCTCAGAGGGTAAGGCCCCTTCTGCTTGAGCGAGGCTTAGTCCTCCTCCTCGCCCTTCCCATGCCCCGCCGCCTGCGCCTCCTTGACCTGCTTGCGGATCTTCTGAAGGGCATTCACATACCCTGACACCACCGCAAGCTCCTCCTTTGTTCCTCCGAACTCCTTTTTGCTGAGCGGGTCTGCAATGCCCGTCAGCAGCCATGCCGACGACCAATCGCCGTTCTGGATGACGCTCTGCATCTTGGCCTTCATGTTTTGCACGAGCTGTGCGGTCCCGGCCTCCACTTGACCGGACCGCAACAGCTCGTACGCCGCAGCATCCATCACCGCACATCTGTAAATTCCTTTGAATTTCCCCCAATGCTGCTTTCGAAGGTAATCTTTGAGGGTCCAACTCTGGCCTGGAATCACTCCCAACTCGGTGGTCACTTCGTGCTCGAACTCCTGGATCACACGACGAGGATGCCGCAATGTGCGGCGATGCAACCGGTGAAGGGTTGCCACAGCACGCATTCCTGAATCCCTCTTCCCTCTTTCGTCGCTTGACTCGTCTGAGCTGGAGCCACCAAGGAGATCCCAGTCTTTTGAACCTTTGGACTTCTTCTTGGACTTGGTTTGCTGCTGAGCCAAAAGGCTCATCATCATCAACGGCATCAGTTCGCTTGGAGATTGCCCCTCTGACAATCCCTGCTGGACCATCTGGCTGAAGGACTCGCCCAAATCTGGAGCTTTCTCTTTCTCGGCTTTGGCTTTCTTCTGGAGTCCGCTTGAACCAGGAGGCAAGTGTTTGCCTCGAGGCGGACGGTGACTGGGAGCAGCTTCTTCGTCTCCCTCGTCGTCGCTGTCGGATTCCTCTTCCTCTTCTTCTTCCCATAGCTCTCCTAAGGCACTCAAGTCACGCTGCAAAGAGGTACCTTTCTTCTTAGGTACCCAGTGCTTCTCTTTGGGTGCTTCTGCTCCACTACTGATTTCAGTTTCACGGTTGACGGCAGCCCAACCACTCAAACTATCCTCTTTGCTTGGCACTTTTTCCCGTGGCCAGCCTGCAGGCCTCTGGGTCACTACAGACTGTTTCTGCACTCGAACAAAGCAAAGTTCTGGCTCGCCCTCCCCAGGGCCAACACCACGGACAGCTTCAGTAAGGCTGCCAAGGCGGCTGACGTAGCCGCAGATCACCACCGTGTCACCCTCTACAGCAGCTACACGTCCACACCCCTTAAGGATACGGTCACCACTTCTGAAACACACGTATGCTTCCGAACCAGTTACCAAGGACATGGCTAGGGACTTGGGAAACGCTTTTGAACTTGAGAAAAGTAATGCAGCAGTGGTCACTGCACATCTTCCGCTGAGACCCTCATGCTGTGCACCGGCTTTCATGCAAGAATCTCAGGGGACATTTATACATAAATTTATATATACCACCTTCAAAGGGGTCACCAATGGAAGCCCCTACACTACTAAGGGACCTCCATTGGACACCCCTTGAAGATCTTGAAGGTCCAGGTAACTATTGATATAACATGAAAAAAAAACAAGACCCACTCGCTAACTGCAAACATCCTGCAAACCATCGGTCCATAAGATTAGGGACTTCTGCAGTCCGGACTCCTACAGGTCTGGGGTTGACTCCACCAATCGGCCTTCAACCCTCCACCAATCGCAGGAGGGGTACAGGGTGTTCTGATCCAGCGCACCAAGTCTTTCGGTCATGACCAGTAGATACCAGTAGCGCAGTCCTACCGAGTCCGTCCCATGTCGGAAGTCAGAAGGTACCTTTGTAGAACCCAACGACACCGAACCCCAGGTGGTGATGTATTTGGAGCCCAGCCGTGAGCTATACTGCTGACCACGGCCCCCTGGCTCGGCTGGCTCGGTGCTGCAACAGCTTCTTCACAGTGAGGCTGGCTGCCCTTCTTATGGATCTGACATGCTCTGACTAATTGGATATTTATAAATATAGGCCATACATCCTCAGTACAGAACATGCCAAGTCCTGTTTGGGGAACCTGGTCGCCTCAAAAACAGGCCGGTGACCGCCCAGCGGCGACCGAGTGCAGCTCGGCAGCCGCCACCCGCCCACTCCCTCTCCAGCCATGCAGCCTTTCTCTTTGCAAGCAGTAATGCCGGCATCCACTTCACTGTCCTGTTGAGTCGCAGCAGTTCTGCAAAAACTTTGTCAACAAACGGAGACAAAGAAAGTCTCCGAAGTATTGAGAAGACCGAGCAACATGACGTAGTCTGGGAATACTGAAGCAAAAAGGCTTCTTCAATGGAGATTTTCCGTCTCCTACTAATTCCTGAGACGTACTGAGACTGCTGGGTTCGTACACTCATGGCTGAGTCACAAGAAAGGCTTCAAACATGGCCTCACAACTGGAACAAGGGCAAGGCATGCAACACAAAAGGACACAACACAGGGGGTACAAAACAAGTACAGTAAGTCTTTGGAGGACAACGAAACAAACATTCCTTCAAACTCCATTCACCCCTTGCTCGCTTCCCCGGACCGTCCGCCCCAAACAACAAGAACCAAACATAACCTCCGCCACAAACAACAAGAACCAAACGCCGCCTCCGACCTTCCCCCAAAACGCCGCCTCCGCGTTTCCTCTCCTCGCAGTGTGCTCGGACTCCGCGCTTCCTTCCCCGCTCGGTCCCGGCTCAACTCGCTACTCCGCTCTCCTCGCTCGACCGGTCCTCCATGCCCAAGGCCTTCACCAAACATTCGATGCGCAGCACCGCCTGCCACTCGGACTGCAAGGCCTCCTCCGACTCCTGGTGTGGTGCGGTCGACCGGCATGGGGAGGCTACGGTCCAACAGCGCCCTGTTCGGGGTGACGAGCCCCGCTTGGATTGAAAACGAGCGAAGGTTGGAAAGGAGTACATGAAAGTCTTAAGAACCAAGCAGTGTGAGTTGCTCGTTGCAGCGGTGCTGAACAATTGTTCTTTGACAAAAGTACAAAATAAGCATTACATTGTAATTATGATTAAATTAACATGAGGCTTGCCATCCAATGAAATGCATTAATTATATGCTCTATAGCAACAGAAAAAAAAGGAGATCGCACCAAATGTGGATCACCTAGGAGTGCAAAGGGGTTGACCTTCACCGGTTCAATCCGGAATCCCTATGAGCAGGAACACTGAAATTATGACCTGTGCGATTGCAGGAGAGATGGTGGCCAGTATATTTGCTGTTGGACTAATTTTTGCACTACCTACTAGGTGTGATGGAGCTCCATGTCCCGGGGTAGTCAAGGTCTATTTGCAAATCCTTATCACCGATGGGCAGTCAACCATGAATGTTATCAACGCCCATGTCAAATTTGTTTCTCTCCTTAAAGCGATGCGCTGTTGGCTTGCTAGAGTGCATTGTTCGGAGACTCTTAATATGCTTTTATAGGAACTCCTGCTTTTGAATGGTGATCTAGGACTGCCCGCTGCCAGCAACAGTCCTTGGCCAAAGTGACGATGCCATCATAGAGCTCTACCTGAAGCAAAGCAACCGGTTTGGTGTACCCTAAAAGGCAACACGCTTGCCGACTCTTTAACAGCCAACTTTTGTGTTCCTCTGTGTTCCCTGAGATTCTTGCTGCGAGCCTGCCCGAATATTGATCAAAACCTTAAGATAATACATGATAACATGATAATACCACTGGCTCTACATCAGGCTTGGCTTATTATCGCGCTGCTTGCTCGTTTGTGAGCAGTCCCGGGCGATTTGGGTATATGGCAATGAAATGATATGTATAGGGCCCAACCCCCAAAGGAGATCTTCCTGAGCAAATACCACAGCATACTGGCAACTGACAGGATCCTGAAAGCCCTGGTTCAGTGGATTTCAGGTCTGCCCTGGCTGGGCCTGCCTCAAAGCTGATCCGCGCTCGGAAATCGGGACATCGGGGCAACCACGAATCGTCGAATGCGCGCCTTCTCAGTGTAGCACTCGCCGAAGAGTGCACAGGTGTAGGTCCTGAACGACCCCCGTTTGGGCCCTGTTGGGCGCGATCGATCCGACGGATCCGCGGTGCCACCGTCTGCCTTCGGTGACATGTGGAGACCAGGTGTGGGTCCTACATGATATCACTGGTGTCGTTGGGATGGTGCAGCCAGAATATGGCATGTAGTATATATGTATATTATACATGTGCCAAACATATTGATATTATTGGCAATTATAGTAGGCCATAATATTATATAGGCCATACAGTAATATATTAATTACATTTATTTACATATATATAATATGTGCGAATGTTGGGGTTAAATGCAATGCAAAGACCGAAAGAAAACCACTGGGACTCCCATTGAGACCTCTGGCGGCGTCCGCAAATTCGTCATATTAAAGCTCAGCTTGGGGTGTGTGCGGATCGCTCAAGCACACCTGGCGCGATCCAACGGCTCAGCCAGAGCTATACCGTTAACGTACTGCACCCTAGAACTTGGGACTCGAGGTGTAGCCTCGCTTTGATTTCATCTCCATTTTTGGATTGAAGATGTCATGTGTTCACCTGCTGAGCAGTCTGAGGCGCGCGCGAACTTGTGGGGGCCTTCTGGCTGGTGCGGAATCTCCGCCATACCCCCCCGAGCCTCATCGCCCCCAGTGCCGAATCTCGCCCCAGCCGTGGACCATGGATGGCCTTTTTCCGTTCCAAGACCACTCGGAACTACCGCCGTTCTCGCCCGGCTCAGGTGTCATGAGTCATGTGTGCATGGTTTCGATCGAATCCGATGGAACAATCAAATCCGATGGTTTCAAGCGAGCATATCACCTGACCTAGATCAGGACATGGCACTGTGTATGAACGTGTATGAAATATGCAGAACATATATGGAGAGGCAATGGAGAGGTACCTCCTTTCCTCACACCCTACACTCCACTTCCAAACATGTCACCTTCCGGTTTGGGAGGTCGCAGCATGGTCCCAGCATGCAAACGACGGGAGGTTTCCCATCCCACCCACCCTGTGTCCGACAAGCCAAGGCACTTGTGCAATTGGCAGGCCTTCTCTTCCATGGCTTTCTGCTTTTCCTGAGCTCCCAACAATTCCGAGCCATGTCCATGCTGCCAAACATGCCCGCCGTGTCCTTGAAAAAGGCCTTCAACAAACAGCGCGAATATGTTTATCGATCACGATGGCTCGAGCCTGGCCGAAGCTTCGCTGAAGCCTAGACCGATAGCATTCTGCGCAGATGGTATGGAATGAACCCTGGCTCATGGATGAAGCAGACTTGGCTAATAGTACTGAGTATAGGCTCATGGATCATAGAACCCTGGCCTTTGGCTGAATGAACCCCAGATGTTCATGGACCTTCATGGCTTGCGTTCAAAAAGCATCTTACTAAGCCAAACAAATCACCTGCAATGAGACGAAGCCCCATCCGGGTGGGACGTACGCCGTATACGTCGTACGTCGGACGATCTGAAGCCAGGCCCAAGAGACGTCGCATGCGATCTTCTGATCATAGTAGAGGCAAATCTTCTCTTTGCAAAGCTCCTGGATGTCGCGCAGCCGGTTGTTCTGTCTAGGCATTTTCCAGCGGAATGCTGTGGAATGCTGAGCCCAGCGCTCTTGTTTTTTGCGTCTGCCGGAACCTGTTTGGACGGGAAGCTGTTTTTCATGCTTTGATCGGTTGCTCAGTCTCTAGGCATTGACTCCTTTGAACGAAAACAAAAAACACCATGAGAAAACCTACAAGTGATCGATGTTGTTGCCTTGACCCCAACTGATCGAGAGACCGCAGGTGGTGGAACCAGCAGCCTTCAATGTCTGTTTGGCATCCTGTGGCAGCCATAAAGGATTGACACGTCCTATCAAAATGAATCTGTGCCTATTCCTCCTCTCCCTTGATCCGGTAAAGAAGAACAACGCCACCTTAAGCAAAACAAGTTCCCACAATCGATATTGAACAGTTACATCCCTTGAACACCATTCATATCAATTTGCACACCTAAACGATACCCGAAACGATCCCCAGTTGCTCAGTCAGGTGGCCCTGTCGCCGGAGGCCCCAAACCACCCCGCTTCTATACCGAAACCGCCACCCCGCGCCACTCCAAACCACCGAAACCGCTCCTCATTCTTGAAGGGCGTGTTGGTGGCATTGTCGCCTCACATCCGACGGGACGAGCTCTCGCAGGTCTCCGTCTCGCCGCCAGGGTGTCTCGCAGCGAGGTGCTTTCGCGCCCGCGTCGCGGGAGGAGGGCCGCGCTCCCAAAGGCGAAGCAATGGTTTTTTTATGTTTTTTTTTCGCTTCAGCTGGATGGCTGGATGGAAGACTTGGATGGCTGGTCCACGAAAAGGAAGTGTTTTCTCTTGAAAGATGTGGCTGCCATGTGGCAGCCACATGGCCGGAAGGCCAGTGGCCTTTGGATGCCATTTGCATTGGTAACCGCCTATACATCCAAATATATGGTGTATATTAGCATATATTGATGTAGAAATATGTAGAATGATGTAGGAGTTTGTTTAAGTTCATCACTCATTGGGACCATGTCATGCTCAGGAATCATGGAACACTAGCAGCCCCAGGCTGAAGTCCAAGAGGCACTTCATCTTCTTCTCATAAAGGATGTCGTACCTGAGGACGCGCCGGTCCTCATCCAAAGGTGCGCCAAGTCCCAAGTCATCAACCAGCACCCTCACTGCCACGCCAGCAAATGAACCTCCCTAGGGGCCCTTCCGAACTTCCCAACCCTCAAACAAGGAGACCTGGCGTGGCTGGTCTGGCTCAACTCGGTTCTTCCCTGCCTGTGCCTGTGCGCATGTCACCGTCACCCCCACCGCTCGTCGAGAGGGTCACTCGCCCCGGAAGAACTTCGCCATCTCCCCCAGGTAGTTGCCGATGGTGGGCACCTGAAGGATCGGTTCGGGCGGTTGGAGGGCGGTTGGAGGGCGGAGTAGTCGCACAGGTGTGGACGAATCCTTAAGACCATGGGAGTGTGAGAGAGGTGTGTTATTCTCCACCAGGAATGGCCTTTCTCCACATGATGTGCCAGGCCATGATGCTGTACCCTAGGGCTCCAAGATGCTCCAAGTATACCTCCTCAGGTTCGGTATAACTGGACCCGACCCTGGCACCCGCCCCAGTCCCACCGAACCTCAGGTTCGGTACGACTGGAGCCGTTCCGTTCCGACCGGTAGATTGGAAACCTCACTGGCCGCACCTGATAAACACAACAAGTTCAACAAAAGGGAGCCCCTTTTGAAGTCCGAGTCCGAGTCTGACAACAACGCAGTGTGGACTTGCAGTGAGGGGACATTCAAGTAGCTGAGGGAGATTGATGGATGGTGAAGGGTGAAGACTGCAGTGCTGGGATAGTGTCTTCAATTTAGGCCCAAAGGGTACCTCGCGCAAATCAAGTGCGTTTGCAGTTAGATGAGTTTGTTTTTGGCACAAAACCAAAAACTCGACTCCAACAGCAAGTGCATACTGTAGGTTGTCATGGCTTGCTCGGACAGCAAGCTATGGATAAACATGGATAAACTGCATAGAACTTATATAGACTATTATGGTGAGCCAATCAGGCCTCTCGCAGAGTTCACCTCACCGACTCACCTTCGTCCCCTCGTCCATGGAGCAAGTGGTCGCCGGGTTCGGGAAGATGTTGGCTGCCTGGAAGGCGTTGCCTGAGCGGCCAAGGGCGAGGCCCCACGGGTGAAGTGGGTGACCTTGTTTAAGGCACTTGGGACCCTGTGGGGCAGCTCCCTGGGGTCCTATTCTTAGGTGCCGGTGGCAGCAGGACACGCGCGGCCTGCACCGGTGTTGGTGCTTGGGACCCTTATGAAGGCAAGAGCTGCCCGGACAGCCCTCGTGCCAGTTGAGATCATACACGACCAGCATGAAATCATACATCTATGTGGAATGGTCAGTCAAATATGCAGATGGCAGCATCCAGTGTCTGCACCAAGAGTGGATGAAACATGATTAAACAAATTAGTTGCAACATGACCTTTAGCGAAGAATGGCGATAGTGTTTATTGCTCCACTACACCAAACACCGTTCCACTCCTGACGAAGGTGCAAAGAGCAATCCGCTCGTTCTCTTGGATCTGCCGTGCCAGAATGCAAGTGGTGTCATAGTCCATCCAAGCGGCGTTCTGGCGGCAGCGGTCTCTGACCGCTGCTCCGGCGGTGGAGGAGTGAGCCCCTTTCTGGGGGGATTTCAATTGGGCAAGATATTTGTTCCGATTCCTATTACCCAAAGCAAGCAAAAGTGTAAGGTGTCCTGCCACCACCAAGCTCTGCGGCATTTGTGGTGGGTTCTGGTGTAGTATGCTGAGCCTGAGCCCAACACATTTAACCAAAATTCTGTCCCTGCCAGATTGCTTCATCTCCCACCCAGTTTTGGTGCTCAACGTCCAAAGGTTGTTTCTTTTTTCTCGGCCTCCTCCATGTGTTTGTTTTCGTCCTCATGGGTTCTCGACCGAGTGTGAGATGACAACATCTCCTGGAGCTATCACCGTATGAACAACTGACCTTCCTTCACCTGTGGACGATTAAATATTGATCTATAACACCCCCTACCTGCAGGACCCGGATGCCCATGATCAACCTATGTGGGGAATCAACGAAAGACACATCAAGAAACAGTCCGCGGTCTGCAATGTCTGAGGACCTCACCTGCTCGTTGCGGCACTCCACGTGGGTGGTGGACAAGGACTTCACAGCCTCGGCCCAAGAGTGACTGCTCCAGCACGCCTGCTCCAGCTCTGCAGAGCTGAACTGAGTCACCCAGCAATCTACAGAATGGCCTTCTACAGAATGAACGGCCCTTTTGATTGAACAGTTGCAGAAACACGGTGTGTTTGATGATTTTGAGATCTTGTCAAAATGACATGGCCAAATTACAAAGATCTGGACTGGAAGTACTAAAATTACATTCTGTAGCGGCCCTAAGGCCCAGCATGGCCCAGCTATTTGTAGAGGAAATTCACACCGGGATCCCATCACTTACAGTAGAATCCATTGAGCATCATTGGGCCGCTGCTTTGGCATAGGGAAGGCCCTGCTGGTTTGATCGTCGAATTTCCAGGGTGTTCCCAGCTGAACATCATGTTCACACGATGCTTCCTGCAAGGTTTATCTGCTGGTTCCCTTCAGACTCGCAGCCACACATCGCAACACCCTGAAACAGTCCTCTCCCATGGCCTCTTTCCCTCTGGGACCCACCACATGGGCTCCAATCCCTGCTCCAAGGAGCATCATTGTAGTCCAGATCTTCTGGATGAGTGCAGCTGCTGAGATTGCCATAGCCGCTGTCCATATCCGCTTGGGTTTGTGCCACCCGCTGTAAGATGTTCTTCTTCATGGTGTTCTCCAAGAGCTCCTCCCGTTCGCGAACCCACGCGGTGCTTTCCCACCCTGTTTCCGAGAACGAACGTGACCACCACTGGGTTGCCGAAGGAATCTAGTCTTCCAGTCTGGGTCCATGCCTGTCGCCCGGTTCCATGTGGGTCTGACCCGGTCTACTCACTTCCATGTGCCAATCTTGACTGACTGGTCTTCTGGATCGGCGTGGGCAGCATGGGGGCAGAGCCCAGGGGTTCTGAACAAAGCTGAGCCAACGGCGTTCAACCGGAAAGAAAGGTGCTCGGTGGAAAACCGTTGTAACAAGTCGATTCTGAACGCAAAGGACAAGACATTTCAACAACTAGGTGCTTGGAGTTGAAAACATACTTGTAGCAGCATGCATGCATCGTATATATAAAATATACTTAATGCACATATCATAGTGAACCTCACTCAATGCTGTTTACCGAGGCTGTAATACATCTCAGGTTTTGTTGTTGTGGTCGAACTGGTGGCAACTCGCTCGGCAAAACTGCTACCAGCAGCGGCTGGCGGCGGGCTCGGCCAAACGGCACCTCTCCTGGATTTCCTTCAAGAAATCGCTCAGGTCGGTGGTGCCCGACTTGGACCTCCGAGAGGCCGCCATGCTCAAGATCGATTTCCTGAGATGACCGACCGGTGCGAGGATTCGTCCCGTTCGCACCGGGCACCGGTGCGCCGCGCGACGAACACACCGCGCTGTCCAGGCCCAAGAGTCTCCATATTCTTCAGGGTGGTCTTCTCCGGAGACACATCCTTCCTGAGAAGAAAGAGGTCGACTCAAAGCAAAGACTCCAAGCAAATTGTACGGCAGGAATTGAACAAAACACATATTGAACGTGTACGAGTCTGTCAAAACCTTCATCTTTAAGCACTAGATTATATACGGAAAACGTTCATTGGGGCCTTCTTGGTCCATCCAATTTCAAATTCGACGTGAAGCTTCTTTCTTCTCTGGAGAATAGCCACGGCACAGCCGAACTCGGTGACGTGTGGTCCGTGCAAAAGATCCCCCCTCTGCACGAGCACTGTGCGTCTAGGGGGTGAGGTCTGACCAACCTCCAAAAATCTTGGCCGCTTGCATGGCGGCTGTGAGCATTGGTCTACCTACATCTGCTGGAAGGATCTGGAAGGACTTCTGGGGCCGAAGGTGACTTCGATCGGTAGTAGTAGAGGCGCATCCGGGCAAACATCCGCTCGCGGAAGTAGGCCATCTTGGCACGCATCAAGGTCGCTTCTCCCGCCTGGCCCACCGGGCGACCGGAATGTGAGGTCGAGGGCTTGCCCTCATGTAGACCGTTGATGAATCACCCCCTTTGGATGGTAAAACTTCAAATGTATGGGGGGCTTGATTGGAGTCTACATTTAGGTTGTACAGGTCACCCATGCTGGAAACGGCTTCACTTCTCAATCGAACTCCACTCTCCACTGCCTGCCAAATTGGAATGCTCTTGTCATGGCACGCAAAATGCTGTGTGGGGTCTGGATGGGCATGTTTTGGGATAGTGTATCGTAATTTATGACCCCTGGAAATTGCATTTGGTAAGCACAAGGCATCTGCATTTCATATAGAGCTACATGCGAGGAGCATAAATCGTGTAACCAGAATGCAATGAGTCCGACCAGTGACCGTGGCGCTTTTTGAATGTGAGGAGGGGAGGGGATGGGACGCTGCCCGGCGAAACCCCCCGCCGGGAACACCGGCCTCCGCGCCCTCCGCCACAAAGACGGACGTGGCGGCGACGGCGACGAGGAAGAGCTTCATTCTCCTAGCGCCGACCACGACTGGAACCTGGGGACCGACACAGGGACCGGAGAGAGAGAGAGAGAGAGAGAACCAATAGGTGCAGAATGGGTTGGTTGAATCAGTGGGTCTGGTCATGGTCTTTGTGTTTCATGCTCCTTTCCATCACTGTGGAACCTACCAGAACAATGGAACATGATGTTTTCGTGGTTTGACCATACCAAGCAAAAACCTTGAGACCATATACCAAGCACGTCCTTATGGCAGCGCAGTTGGGATGCCAGTTCTGGCACAGGTTTCCCGCTGGTAGCTGGGGTTCAGACCACCAGACTGCAGATTGCACCCCCCATGACTCCCTGTTCAGCAACATGCAACATGATTCATTGGGTCTATCCGGATTTACCAGGCTTCAATGATGATGGTTAGGTTGCAAGCCTAAGACTCTTGTTGAGCGGCTGAGCGACTGTTACAGGTATTAGGACTGACCCAAATTATTCTCCAAATGATTTGATTGACTAAACTAACAAACTCTTCCTGGCCACTGATCTGCAATGTTGCCGGATCTGCACCACTATCGCTCGGATCCATGTACCGAGAAGGTGCCCAAGGGGACGTGAACATACTAATGTAGACAGTCTGTTGATGACACAACAACCCAGAACCCCCCCTGTATGGAGAGGCTTCTCAATCTAAATTGGAGGGGAGTTGTGAATCAACACTGACTGTCCACAGACCTAAAAACCATCAAACACTAAACACCAACAATTCAATACATCCAAGAATTATGACCTACAGTACTCTCCCTAGAACGAACATGGAAGTGGATGGCACCACCTGTTAAGTAGTGGATTTTGTGGTCTTCCAAAGGGGCCATTCTCCACGTAACCATGTGAGTTCGTTCGGAAGTGTAGGCATTGGGAGAGCCAACATGTTCAAACCACTTGGTTCAGCAGTTTCAGCACGTCCCGGTCGAACTCGACCCAACGGATCCGTTTACGGATCCGGTCGGACCCAAGCGGCTTGAGGCGATTCAGCTCATCCCATGTCACATGTCATTGGAATGGATGGGTCGTGTGCAAAAATGGGGGGGGGGGCAAAATCTTCCGCATATGGATGGTCTGGTCTGTGTGTGCTTCTTTTGTTTTAAGCAGTTCTCTTGTAAGTGTCCGTGAACGGCCTAGCAAGCAACAGAACTGCAGCAAGGTTTGCAGGACATGAACCCCCAACAAAGGCATTCCACCCAAGCAATGCATGTCCACCCAAGCATTCGCAAACAGCTGGCGGTACCATGGGTGGAGACTCAAACAGCGATCAGTTTCAATTCCAAGAATCATCCCCAGGACCTTCAAAGTGATTTTCTCAGGGCCACTTATAGATACCACTTATAGATACTCCAAAGAGGTCACTTTCAAGGTCCGAAAGCCTCTGCATGTCCGATCCAGTTTGGCAGCCAATGATCCCTGAAAGCTGAGGCCCAAACTGAGCTCCCAGGGTCCAGTTTGAGCTACCGAATTCGCCCTTTCTGGGATCACAAAGGTCGAACATGTTGAATCTCTTTCCGCGTTCATAGCAAGGGCAAAACAAACAGAGCCTCAAAAAATGTCAAACTTGTGTTGCAGGCGATCCAACCATCCCAAGCTCTGTCCTGAGTGACTTGTTCAACTTGACCAAGCTGTTGCCGTGTCTGACCGGCCAGCTTGAGCCAAACAAAACAACAAACGATGAGCACACACATGTTTTGTCTTTTTTCGATCGATGAGGACTGCCTTGGATGTGCTGTATCGCACAGGAAAAACACACACACTTTATCACGTGAACACACCTATTCAAAATAAAACAAACTCTTTAGAACAGGGGGATCCTGCCAGGATCGATCCCCTAGTGGATCGTGTTTTCTTCCCGCTTTTTTTGCTGCGGGGGCTGCGGGGGCAGCTAGCGAAGCCTTGAGCCTTTGGCTCTTTTCTCTCGAACATGTTGCAAGCCGGGAAACCAAACAAACAATTCCAATGAATTCACCCAAGTCGTTAGGGCCATGTGGCAAATACACACCACCAACAACAAAACCCACCAAACAAAGGTCTTGAATTTCCTGATGAGTTCGAGAAAGTCGAAAGAAGCAATCTTGGAGCCCAAACCGTCCAATTGGGGAGTCTGACTATAATATGTCATTAATCCTAAGGATCTAATGTATATAGTATCATAGTCGTCATAATTCCTTTATATAAGATCTCCAGCTAAGTTGATATAACTTGCGATGTTGTTTCGTTGGGATAACAACCGTCACGGAGGTGTCTTTTTGCTTTTGGTGCCTGCGGCTGAAACAACTTGTCCATCCCCCCTTGGCATCCCCGGCTGCATCGCGCGCCGCTGCTATAGGGAGCCGCTGGACCACAAAGGCGCAAAAATGGGAACTCATCCGCCAGTGTAAACACGGCCCATAGGACTACCAGGAGCTTTCCTGGTGATCCTATTTCGAGATCCCAGAATCAAAACCAACATAGGTCTGGAAAAGTTCTGGCATATGTCTGGAAAAAGTTGAAGGATATCCGTCCTTGTGTGGGAGATGGTCAGCCGAGTGCATGACTACTTCCTTGCATCACCACAACCAAGTGCGTAGAATGTGGCATATTTGGCCTGTATGTGTGATGCCTAGTCTTAGATTGGTGGAAGGACAAGCTCCTACTGGCCGGCACTTGCTCAGCGACTGGGTCATACAGCCATCCTGCTGCATGTTGTTCATTCCTTAAGCCAAGTGAGCTAAACTGAGCAACTTAAATTCAGCATGTGATTAGTGATTAGTGTGATTAGCCAACAACTCTAATAGTTATATAATATACGTAATATAATCTCATTAATGGATCGTTCAAAAAGAAGAACACATACACCTCGGTATGCCCGTAACAAATGATCTTTCGAGTGTGGGGAGAAGTGACCTTCTGGGCAGCATTCTCCCAAACATCCCGAGGAAATCCAAACACCTCCTCAGAAGGACTGGATTCTCCTCCAACCTGTAGTGCTCCATCGGTCATGTCCTCCTTTTCTCTCAGAACATGATCAAGTGATCCCAATCTCGGCCCCTCTGTCTACCTAGCTCGAAGCAGTCCCCTACGTAAACATGGACAGGGACATTTGACATAGCGAAGCCATGATGGACTCTTTTTGAATCGACAAAATCCAACTCTCAAACATTGGCTCCCACTCCCCTCCCGCAGGACATCGACTCGCCCACCTCGTGGTCCACCAGACGCTCCAGCAACATGTCCGAGCCTCGAGGCACCAGGGCAGTCGGTGAACTGGTGGCCTCCAAATAGAGAGAACTTAACAAGTGTTCCAAGTTACAGGTGATAAGTTCTGTTTCAAAGCTATAGTTGGATCAAGCATGTCGTATTTTTAGATAGAATCTGATAATCAAAACATATCGAGGTCCAGGAACACCCTGTAAGTCAGGCGGGTTTTGCACCGTGTTTGCGCCGTGTTGGAAGTGTGTCCATGCCTTGGGGAGGCTATGAGGCTACGCCACTGGCTACGCATCGCTCATTGATAGAATCGAAATAACACATGATCCTGGAATCCCCCCGCTGAAGGACACCAACATCTGCCTCACGTTCTTCAGGATGTTTCTTTTTTGATCTTTTTTGCATGGGTCCAGTTTGTCCTGGGTCAAAGGATGTCAATTAGCTATCTTCCGGCCGGCACCGAGAATCCATGAGAATCCAATCAGATCCCAATCCACGAAATCCAGGGACAGAAACTGACTCATTACTATAGCGATTCCCTTTCCTTGGAGTGTTTGTGACACGTATGACCTACGTGAGCCCTTTTCTTGACCGAGAAAACAAGAGCGTTTACTTTTTGATGCACAGTGGGTTATGAGCCCAAAGTGACGCATCTTTTTTCTACTTTCGAGCCATGTCGGAAGGGAACAGCGAACGAACCCCGGAATCCAATGGCCCGAAGGCTATTGAGGACATCCAGGCTAGCCATGGAGCTCTGACAGGGCCGGTTGGCCCTCCTGTGTCCCTAGGACCTGAGGTGAACCCGTTCTGGAGCGGCTTGGTGCGGGAGGAGGCGATTCTTCGTGCGTGTCGGCCGACTCACTTACCTCAGGAGGGGACGGAACCTTTTCCTCAGGTGACCTCCTCGACTAGCCCACCTCGAGAGCAGTCGGACGCCTTTAGGGCGATGGTTCAAAGCTTGCTCCAGGAGAACGCTCGTTTGTGGCAGGAGAGGGAAGCTATGTCTATTGGGCATGCGGCTTGGGGCCATTCGCATGGAGCTGGTGGTCCGCAGCAAGCGTGGCTCGGTGGAATGATGGGCGATGGGCATGGTTGGGATCGGAACCCCATGTCGATGGTGATGGACTTGTTGAAGAGTTCAATGACTTCCCAATCCCTTCCTGGAGATGGAGGACTGTTGGGCAATTTGGCTATGCCTAGTGAGAGGTCTGGTGGTTTTCCTTTTCTTCATCCTGGTTCGGGAGTTTATGGAGGGCCTGTTTCGGGAGGATTTGGTGGACACGGACCGGGAGTTCACGGAGGGCAAGGGCCTACAGCAAGGGGGAGCTTGATGGAAGTTTTCAATATGGTGGCGGGGGCGGCGAGCTCTTTGGCACCGCATCTACAAAGGAGCTCTGGACAGACTGTCTCGAGCGGTTCTGGTGGTGGTCAGCAACCAAGTGCTCGATCTGGTGGTCAGTTGGGAGGAAGTTCTGGGCCGGGTACTGGAGGTGTGGGGCAAGATTCACTACCTCATGATCCTCCAGAAGGTTCCGGTCTTCAAGCAGGGCAACCTGGTGGGGGAAATGATGGAGCTTCAGGCTATGGGGGCACAGGTGTACGGCGTGGGGAGCCATCGGCAGGGGCTGGCGGCAACTCGCCAGGAGGTGGTGCTCCGGGTGGAGGAGGCTTTCCAAATGAACCGGATGGACATTCTGGTGGAGGAGGATTTCCATGTGGAGGACCGGGTTTTCCAGGAGGACTACCAGGAGGTGCACCAGGAGGTGGAGGTTTTCCCCATGGAGG